GCGGGAGCACGACTGTGTACTTGTTTTCACAGAAGTTTCTTGGCTAGGTTCATTTGTAAATTTAAGTTAATGTAGTGTGGTCAAACATTTTCAATGCTTGGATGGCATTTTAATTCGCTTTTGAGTATGTGGAAATGGAAGGGAGGTGAGAGGGGGGCGGGGGTTTTGGGGTGTGGTGGGAGCGGGGACAAACCTGGCGTGCGGGTGAGTGTAAGCCATCTGATGAGGGCCGCGACCGCGAAGATGTAGCTCAGATGGTGGAGCGGTAGAGCAAGAGCAGAGCGCAGCAAGGCGATTGAGCAATGGCGGCAACAGGTTCTCAAATAGATATAGTCACTATGTGTCGCGATTTGTAATATCTAACTTCCTACCAATTTTTTGCAGTCGATTTGAGATTCATAGTTCCTAGGACTATTATAGTATGCTCCCATACAACCTGCCTATGTTTCACATACAGTGATTCAAAACAGATGAGAGCCCCGTTTTGATAGCTATGGTACTAAAGGTGGCACCACATGCTTGATGCCCATGCACTTGGAAACCTAATGCCCCCCAACAAGGGACAATGCAACATAGTCAAAGTGCTTTGTGGATATGCTACATGTGATCTTTTCTACCAATGAACTCTACAACATGTGATCTTTTCTACCAATGAACTCTACAACATCAAAACTATCCTTAACAAAGCAATGTAGCTAACAATTATTAGTCATATTGCAAGCAAAAGCCACCTTGAAAGAATGGACAACCACCACTTTGCATCAAACAATGGAGACAGGCTCCTTAATAAGCAATGGCTTCTTCAAAGTCACCTTCTCATCATGGGATAGAGTCCAATATACCTTCAAGATATAAAGGTAAAGAGATACTTTTTATCCCATAGATCCCTTTTTTTCCACTAATAACAAAGACTCACATAGATTCATCTCTCTTACCAAGTCAAAGTCAAGTTCTTAATTCTTAGCCAATAGCTTGGTCACAAGTAGTGGCTTTGGATCATAGCCTCTAGCCTAGAAGAAGTATTGTTTTTCAAAATCTCTTTTCACCAAACTCAATAGATCTATTAAGTACACTAATGGGAGTATCAAATGAATCTATGAGAGCTCCTCCATCCAACTAGTCTACTCCAACACATCCTAGATTAAAGTTGATCATTACATAAGAGGACAATTCTTCCACCTACAATAAACCTATTATTCCCCTTCTGTAATAGATGTTCGTTGGAGTCATGCAACCAACACAAATAAGACACATACTAGCTTTGACACAAGAGTGGGAATCTACATCATTAAATACAAGTAAAGAATACATAATGGACCACATCAATGCTCCACTTTCAGCACAAAGATAAGATGTCCCACCTTGATCTAATTAAGTTCTAGCCACATCTCTCCCTCCATACATACATACATACATATATATATATATATATATATATATATATATATCAATATAGAAATCACCAACCATGTTACACAAGAAAATGGATTTCAATTTTTTTGGAAAAAGAGACCAACAAAGAGTTGTCTCTAATCCAAACACACAATCTTATTAACATCACGGGACTCAAGCCCAAACAAATCCAACTACAAGATGACATCCTTTTTTGAGGAATTTTTCTAAGTCATCTCCTTCACTTTCCATCGAAATACACTAATCACAAGATGCAAGGTATTTTCTATTTTGTTCAAAACAACTAAGAATCTAACAAACTATTACTACTACAGAGCATTAATAGATTAGATCGTATTTGGATGGCAACCAATAGCATTTCAACAAGACTTCATCCTTAAAGACTAAGTCAAATCCTAATTAAATCCTAATGAATCTTAACAAAATCCTAGGTCAAATCCTAATAAAATCCTAATGAAATTCTAAACATTAGACCAATTTTAATGAACCTTAATGAAATCCTAGACAAACCTTAGACAAACTCTAGTTAAATCCTAATCAAATCCAAACAAAATCCTAAATCCTAACCAAATCCTATATCCTAAACCAATTCTAATCAATCATTAATTAAATCTTAAATCTTAAATAAAATTCTTAATAATCCTATAGCAGATTAAAAATTTAATAATAAATAATTGGATTGTCAATTATGACTCAAACTTTACATACCTTATAAAAATTAAGTCAACAACAAGCACAAATTTTTTGAAGAAGATTGCACATACCAAATAGATGATAAATCCTAGAATCTACTCAGGTATTGGTTGGCTTCCTTCTCTAATCTTAATACCAATCTTCCTCATCCAAAATCTCTTAATTTTGGTATTAAATATCTTTTAATTTTTTTCATATATATTGAAAATCAAGTCTATTACTCATACAAATAAATTTTACTTCAATCCAACTAGCAGATTGCTAAACGTTTTAAAAACCCTCACTAATCCTCAAAATCCCAATTTTGAGACCCCAACCCATTTAAACTTCTATATCCTTTAATCTAACTATTTGATCATACTCAAATTTACAATTTGTCATAAGAACAACTGTAAACACAAATCCACAAATTTTCACTTGTAGATCTACTACCAAACTCACAAATTTTTCTCAAATGTAAATCTTTTTTTTATTTCACAAAACTAGATTCACCAAAAATAACCCTAACTTGGAAAAACTCTTATAAAAGCATAATAAATTTAAATTGCCCAAAATCAATGCTCAAAAAAATTCTATAAAGTCTTCTCTCAAATCTCACTATTTGATTTGCAAAAAAACCGTGGAGTCGTTGTAGGTGCATAGTTTTGTGCCTTGAGGTCTGATTTTGACCTAAGTTGACAACCAATCTTCTTTGCATATCAATTTTTGGTAATTTGAAGTAAGTTTTACTTTAATCTATTGTTAATTTTCTTTTAAATATGTCTATATTAATTTCTTATCTCATTTACTTTAATTTGACTCATTTATGCTTCTATAAAGTAAATAAAAGTCTCTTCTACAAAAAGTAGCATTAAAAGTAAACATTTTACTATCTTTCTATAATTTATCATTTTTTTTTTACTACATCTTTCTATTCAGCTCTTCTATAATAACATCCATTTTTACTTCTATTTTTTTACCATATAGTCATGTTATCATATGACACCATAATCTTTCTTGAAAAGCACATCCACAATGTGAGGTTATTTTCTTGCAAGAACACCACTACCATATTGAATATTGCATGTAGCAAACTACCCAATTGCAATTCAAAGGAGGCAAAAGTTTTTGGAACAACTCCACCTGTTTTTAGGATGGACAATCATTTCTATATTACACAAGCTAGCCCCTTGAGTCTGCAACTATGGAGATATCATTGAATCCAAAGTTCAATTTCTGATCATAGAAATCAATAACAATCCCATTGGCAGTATCAACCTATATAGACAATAAGTACAATTTTGGAATCTATTCTATCATTTTGGGTTGGCACACAATATCAGCATTGCAAGGAATTGAATCACCTCACTAGCATCAACCTCCAAGCAATAATACCCGCAGAAGCAATACAAGAAGCAAGAATAATCCTCAAATGTCCATTGGAAAACATAATCAAATATAATCTAATTGAACTCTTGAATACCAAATCTATAATATTGACGCACTTGGAAGGCACCTCTTAATCTCTAACAATAAATTCCAAGGAATGGCTATGGTGCAAACAGAGATCTATACCGATCGCACTTTTCTACAACTACACCACAAAACGGGGGTACGGCATCATTCCACAGCAACAATGTCAATAAGATGGCCTTCTACAAGAGCATGCAGATTAGATGCTACTCCCCAATCCAACACAAACATTACTTTGCTAGACTCTAGAATCCATGGCTGTGCCAAAAAATTTCAGCCATGGTGTGGCTATTGATTGCCAAAGGCCTTTCAATGGCAAATGGAGACAAAAAATCCATTACTCAAGAAGGTGCAACCTCTGTACAAGGCAGATGCTAGAAATGGCGAAACACACATTCTTTACCTGCCCGCAAGTCTCAACAACTTGCGACAAGTTACAAGTATTTGAAGATTAACAGACCCCTCCACTGCTAACCTCACATGGAGATCTGCGCTACACAGGAAACTCCCCATGCCCAACCACAACCCAAACACACATGATGACTTCACTTTCTGAAACGTAGGCAATCGGTGTTTTATCACCAAGAGCACCCCGTGGGACATCCTTTGGTGGGCCATAATCTAATACATTTGGTGCCAAAAATGCAAAGACGACCTAAGGGAAGGCCAATTCCATCTCGGAATAGCACTCTACCGAGCTTAGAAAATAACAGTCTAGGTCGAAATGAGAGCTTGGGCAGAACTCCAAAAGTTCAAGCACTACCAATCACTTGAGCAACACAAAACAATAGAATCCAAATTCCCAGAGATATGGTTGGAGTCTGAAATTTTTTGCGCAAGGCAAACTCCACGCAAATGGAAATCTCTCACGCACCGCAATTTCCTCCTCAAAGACCTTGCCAACCGGATGCAAACAATCCATGCATCGATCATCTCTTCAATAATGATCCACGAAAGACTTGGCAGAACTAGATGCCCTCAACAAAAATCACCGCAACCCTTGAGTCCCTCCCAGACAAAACCAACGTTAGTGCAACACCACCCGCAATAACAACCTCATGCTCACTCGACATCGTCCAAAGATAGTGTCATAAACATCAGGGAGAAATTCACATGGGCGATGGTAGAAGAGATCCTTGTACAAATCATTTGCAAAATCAAGCCATCAAATGATGATCACTCAACACTAAATGAGTAATTGGATCCAAACTGAGTTCCTACGGACGCACGTGCACCCCAGCTCTCCATCGGCACGCAAAGAAACCGAGCAAGCATTGACACATACATTAGGCTAGCACTTAGGAAATCCGGATACAATCGAGTCTCAAACCTTCCACGCACAGAATCCCAAAACTCAGTTATGCTCAGCTTTTCCGGACCTAGATCTTAGAATTTGTAGGAATTTTACGGGCATGCTTTGCATGCCACTGTGGATCAACCCATTGTAAAAAAAATTACCATTTCAAGACCAGATGTTTTGGCACGTCTCAGCTTAGATGGTAGAACTACCTATGGTGCCGAGAGCATGAACATGATCTTTGGGATGGACAATTCCACCTCTGGGTAGCCCTCTATCGAGCATGGCAAACTACGGTTAGGTGGGAATGGGCGCCTAGGCCGAACTCCAAAAATTCAAACAATGAAGATCACGCAAACGACACATGGAGTTGGAAAGCACCTTCCTCTCGATATGGACGTGGGCGGACCTATTTTGCACAGGGCGATCTCGCCTCCAATGGAAACCAATACCGCACCACAACTTCCTACCGCGCGAATTTGTCAGCCACATGCAAACGATAAGAGAGCGCAGCCCCTCACCGGAAACAGAACCTGAGCACCTCGAAGGAACCACCCCCTCCACCGGGCCGCAGACACAATACGGGAATTCCGCAACCCCATCACCTACATTCCTCACTGCCAACTCCCAAGACCCACGACACATCCGGAGACAGACAACACGGAAGGCAACGATCAAACCGCAAACGCCATGGCAGAGGAAATCCTCGCGCAATTCACTACCCCTCTACCACCAAATCGCGAAGGACACAACGGGACCAGCCTCCTGCATCAAAACACAACACGGGCCCCAAACTCCTCCCCAACAGGACCAACAACAGTGCAACACCGCCCGCAACGCCACCCCCCGCCTCTGTCCGAAGATAGCGAAATGACCAGGGAGCAACTTGCACGAGAGATGGTAGAAGACATCCTTGCACAAATCCTTGCATTCTTCCACTGTATTTGCATTCTCCCAATTCTGTTGCATATCATGGAAAAAAAATAAAAGCGTTTCTGATATTTCATCAATATGTTGACTATCATGTACGAGTTATGTTGTGACCTTTCCCACTATGTTACACCAATTTTTTAAACACATTAAAATGTAACACATGATCTGGAACAGGGTAGAGGAGTGTGAAGCCACCAAGTAAACAGGTACACCTTTTAACTCTTTTGGGATCTACGATCCTAAAACCACACCTTGTTAGCCATACCGTTGTTCTGTGTAAATGTGTTGTTCAACTCTTAAGCTTTTTGAGACTGAGCACATTCCTCCTCTTCAAGCTTTCTCTACCTGCAGTATCTACAATGATTTGCACCAATTAAGACCTTCGCTACTGTTCTTGGAACCCTTTTTTTTTTTTTTTTTTTTTTTTTTTTATCGCGGTGTGGATCGCCGGAATGACGTGTGTAATGTCGCCCTGTACAAAACTCAGACCCAAAAGAATCAAACATAGTACACCATGCCGACATGAAGTAGGCACTCGTGCGGGATGTTGAGCACCACGCTGCTGTCTCGGCTTATCCTTCGCAGAAAGGTATACATGTAGTTGATCACCAGCTTCTTGAAAAATCCTGCATCCTTTCTCGCTTTCACGATGTTGTTACCGAGTATGTACACCACGCCAGCATCTTTGCATGCATTCAGGAAGGCAACTTCGTCTTGCGGATGCGGGCTGCTGCTGCTGTTGCTGCCGTTGACGCTCAGGTTTGGAATACTGCATTCCTGGTTAGCAGACATCTCGACCGAGTTCGAGGCGGTCTGGGAGTACTGAGTGGAATAACCGTCGCCGACGCTGTTGCCTCCGCCCATCAGACTGTGTAATCTCAGCATTCTTTGCAACTGAAGCCGGTTTGGAGTGATCGTCGACGTAGTTGGCACCGTGGCCTCCTCCATCGGCTGTTGATCTGGGGTCCAGCTTGCAGCCATGGACTCCCGGCCTGAGCTCTCTCTCATAGACTCAATCTCGACGAAACTGATTAAGCTTTGAATTAGCAGTTGCTCGAAGTTGTCATCTTTCTTGTGGAGGTCTATGTAGCCGTAACGTGCTGCACAACGGTACATGGAATAAGCTCTTGAACCGATGCGACGGATTAGAAATCTCTCATCTTGTGGTACCGTGTTCACTGGCAGGTATTTAACGCAGACGAAGACTACGGTGGAATGGATGGCGGGGAGATTGGTGATGAAATGCGAGAATAGCGGCGGCACTCCATGAGCGAGATCTGTGTACATGAGACCGATTCCGGGGACACGAACGAGGCCGAGGCTAGGTCCAAGCCCAAGCAACCATCCCACTGAAACCTTGTGCTGCATCTCATACTGGTAGCGTTTCAAGGTTCCGTAATGCCATGTGCCCATGACTGTGCCGAAGACCACCGAAATGACCAGCGGCACCCAGCCTCCTTGAGTTGTCTTGAATAGGACCGCACTGACATAAATTCCCTCGATTGATGCGAACACGACAAGGAATAGCAAGGCAAGGAGGAAGTGCTTCCGCCAAATGATGATTATCACTAGGGTCATCAGGAGGGTGGTGACGATCATGACCATCACCACGGCGATACCTGCACACACGTGGGCAGAACGTGGGTAAAACTTCGATTTGTTCTTATTATTGTCGGCGAGGAAGTCATAAACTTGATGGTTTTAGTGGCGCACAATAGGAAAAAGAGATTACCGTAAGCATTTCCGATTTGGTCCGTGTCTCGGAAACCAGCTGTGACGCAGAGGCAGAGAACCATAAGAATCCAGTTGATTTCGGGGATATACACCTGTCCTGCAACATTATTTGATGTGTGCACAACCTTCACTCGAGGAAAGCATCCCAGAGCTGTCGCCTGCTTCACGATAGAAAACGTGGCGGAGATCATGGCTTGGCTCGCTATCATGGCTGATATTGTTGCCAGCACGAAGATTGGCCAGTAAATACTACCTACACAGAATCAGCACAGAAAATTGTGAACCAAGTACAACTATTTTTAAATACGTCACAAAAAAATTAAATAAATTAAATAAATAAATCAAACTCCATTTCCTACAAAGGATAGTGATGGCATTTCTTTTTGCACGAAGAGATCTAGTACAGCATGATGAAAGTCTGACAAGAAAGCTATGATCATAAGGAGTAGAAGACGGCGCTACATACTCGGCAGTGAGGAATAAAAGGGATCGTTAACGTCTTCCATATGTTCCACGAGGTAAGCAGCTTGCCCGAGGTAAGTCAGAAATAAGCACGGGTACACTAGAGAAGTGAAGACAATCTGCACAGAAACAATAAATTTGCTTCAGTGGTGGGGTGAACAAACCTAAGAGCGACTGGTGTGGACAAAGGCTTTGTGGTCAAGTGCAACGAGTCCGCTCGCATGTTTTCTTTTACCTGAATAGACCGACAACTGAAATGGCCCAAGTCGGCAAACAACGCTTCAGTCCCTGCAGTTTGAAGGCCAAACGTAGGATTCAAAAACTGCTAAGTAGGTTTCAAGTCATTTGTCCAATTTAATTTCTATTCAGGCTTCAGCTTGAACAACTTGTCTGCAGAAAGAGACGATAAACAGTTTATTATGGGCATTTTCCTGTAATAGAATGAATCAAAGCCAAGTTGTGGGGTGCATTCACACCTGTCATACACAGCACGATGCCTCCGAGATGCTCCCACCCCTGTCTTCCATTCCGTCTGAAGAAGTGTACGATTTGAAGGGGATTGAAGGCTAAGAAGATTGATTTCTCCCATTTGATTATGTTGTAGCAGCCGATACAGGCAAGAGATAGGAACCAAACCAAGAAAATCGGTGCGAACAAGACTGAGATTTTCGCTGTGCCGAAGCGCTGTACGCTAAAGAGGATGACTAAGATGACGCACGAAATGCCTGTCACCAAATCTGCAAGAATGGCGCTGAGAGATTAGAGTAAAGTTGAATGCACGCAACAATGGATCGCAAAACTTGAAAGAAAGAAATAACTGATCTCGCTGTAAAACTGTTGCTGAGATAAATAGACCGCTGCCAAATGTGGGTTCTTAAGACTGAGAGCTCACAGCCCAGAATCCAGAAAACTGTGAACTGAAGGTAAATGCTTACTAGTATCCAAGGAGGAAGAAGCAGCTTTAATTCCAACAACTGCCGATAAGACTGCAGAGCGCAAAAAATGAAGCAGCATTAGTCTTCCGGGACACCACCTGTATCTTCTTCAAGTAATCACGAACAGATAGAACACCATATTGCGACATCTTTAGAAGGTCATCATATTGTGAAAAAACATTTCGCCGATATAGATAGGCGCTCATCAAAGGCCTTAACCCCTAACTCTCACAGATAGCCACAAGAAAAAGCTACTGCGAGAAGGATTCTGATCATTTGTTCATTCGTTAACGGTAAGAGTTTATTGTGCACCTGAGATAGACGGGGTTAATATGCCGTCGCCGATAACCATGCAAGTCCCGAAGAGCACAATAACCAACAACACTTGCTGCGCAAGCACACTACTTTCCAGCTTCCTCTGAATCCAGGTTTTGCGGCGGGCGTTGTCTACGACATACGTGGTAAGCTCCGCATCGGAAGGGTGTTGATTTGGCAGGGCGCTTATATTACAGTAACGACACAGCAATGAATAGAGAGCGAAAGAACCCCCTGCGCAAAACGAGACAATTTAGATGAACTAAATAATCATCCTCCAGTATTTCGCAAGCAAATCCACTAGGCAATCAATACAAGTAATCAAACCATCCTCCGAGATTCCATACATTAAAGCAATTACCTTCGCCATTGTCATTTGCTCTGAGCACGATGAAGACGTATTTAATCAAGGGGATAATGGTGAGGGTGTAGATAATGAGGGATAGAGCTCCAATGATGTCATCCTCGTTCCTCACTCCTCCATTAGCAAACGTGCTCTTGAAAACATACAACGGTGATGTGCCCAAGTCTCCGTAGACCACCCCAAGGCTCTGAAACGCTAGGCACAACACCACACTCGGAGGCATAGTCTACAAGGCCCCAAAAACCACATGTTAGGTCACCCAAGTCATTCGGAAGCCCTAAGTCAACTCTTTCCCTCACTACAATGTCAAGCATGTCCTACTGGAGTTGTTGACATCTCCTTTGCATGACGCTCTCAAAATGCCGGGCCTATGAGACGCCACGGAGTAAATGGTCGTAAATCTTCACAGAAACTATCACAGAAACTAGCCAATATGCGTGGCACGATGCCCTCCAGAATCCCTGTCGAAAACCCTCAACCGTGCAGTAACTTCTTATAGGAAAACCAGGAGTGCGCCGGAACCTTCTCTAATTCCTACTGGCATCACTTGGATCTGGAGAGATATTGCTTCTATATCAAATTTGAAAACCTCACGGTAGAGAGAGAAACTCTATGATTAAGTTCACTACCATGCATTCAGCTGAGATTCTCCGCAAGCTCATCTGCAGGAAACGAAAGCTTCACGTACACAACATACACTGAGAAAACCAACGTTTCTCAAACCATACAGACTTTACTCAGCATTATTAATCCTTCAAGTTTCAGGCATGCACTACCTTAGAAAAAATTCTAATTGAATCCTGGAATCGTAGCCCTTCACAGCCTTGGAACTAGGTCGCAATTCTGAATAGCACATCGAGAATGACCAGCCTGTGCATTTTACTTCATTTTTATCATCACTAAGAGCAAATTTGGAAAGGTGGGATGTGTTGAGAGAAAGAAAGAAATAACAGCGAGGTAGGAACGACCTAATATCCTGAAGCCTCCTACTAAGTCGCTATCCGATTTTGTCCAAACTAAGTCCACTGCAAGGAGTGACGGAAGAAACGACCGACCGCAACAAGGACTACAATTCACATTGAACAAAACCAACGCTCAAACCAAACGCCACTGAATTGTACGCTCCAAGCTCCGACCCTACATTATAGCGGCAACAACACTCGACCCCCAAAACCCAGAATTGCCACTACGATGCAGCAAATTCTCTCGTAGCAAGAGCCTTAGTCGAAGGAGTGACACTTCCATACAAAAATCCACACAAACCACTTTCGTCTATGGCCTACACCACAGACGTCCGGCCAATATCTGTCCGAAATTCACACCGACAAGTCGCAGTAATCTAGAGGTTCATCAGAATGCGTTGCGAATTAGTCACCAATTGCATGGAACCCCCCCCCCCGAGTGCTTAATGCAGATGAAGTGGCTCAAGATCTCAGCGAATGCACGACGCACCTGGTCGCGATACATGGACCTAACATGGTCGGCTTCGGCACCCAGCGGCTGGTCGATCCGCTGATCCATGTCCCACAGGCGCCCTTGGTTGGCCTGCTGGCCGTTGCGACCACCTCTCCCATCTTCGGCGTCCTCCGACACCGTAGTGGTCGACATGATCCTCAGACGGCGAGCACAATGGCGGGCACACTAGCCACAGTTCCTTCACTCACCACACTGATCATTCAGAGCAGGCAATCGCCAATCGAGCTCCGAGGCACCACCACGATGCTTTAAACCGTCCCACGATTCCCAATCGAGCCTTGTCCTTGCCCATGCGACGCCGCAACATCCGATGCAGAATATAGAAGATACAAGGTGGGGGCTTCGCCCCCACTTTGCCAGCATCTCCTCGTGAGCCAGCCCCACCAGTATGGGCACCGGATCAATATTCCATTTATTACTCTACTTGGGAGAAAATTCGGCCAATTGAGCCCGGGTTCACGCTATTGGCGGGATAATTTCTTGCTTTTCGAACGACATACTAGAATATCCTATAGAAACTAAGCCTGATCTCCATCATCTTCTCAGAGAAGGTGCTTCGAAATCACCGATATCCTCTCGAATGTCTGAATTGTTCCTGAAAGTGTCAGTGAATGTGTTGGGGTCCACCTTTCGGCAATTGAGACAGGCCCCGTGTGGGGACCCGGCAGAGGAATACACGTGATCTCGAGGTTCTAATTTCACTGCAACTCTCTCTCGTTCTCACCCGTCGGGCTCCGAAAACACACCGCCCGCCGCTGGATGCAAACTTCATTCATCCATGAATGTATGTATTCATCCAATTGTTCCGTGCGAATGATTCCGTAAGGGTGTATGAAAGTCATTCGGTCTTCATCCGTAACCATCCAATTGGATTCGCCATTCCGCCTCCACAACTTTTGCTTTGCTAGTTTTCAAAAGTATATGGCTTGTTTAATAATAATTAAAAATTTCCTCGAGATTAATAGTGTTGAAAGGACATTGTTTGTTTGTTTGTTCTTTATACAAATACTGAAATTCAAAAGCGTGAATGGTCAATTTAAGCAGGATTTTGCATTTGATGGCCTATTCTGCCTCCGAAGAACGCTACGCAAAGTTAGTTAGCGTTATGCAAATCTGCATAATGATAAAATAACAATGAGCTTTTATATTTTTATTAATTCAGACATCGATGTAAACTCAAAATCCAAGTATTTCAAGATTTTGATATTGTGTATGGACATAAACTACAAAAAAACAAACAAACAAACATACCGATTTATTAGCCAAACACTGGTTCAAAATGCACTGCACACCTATGTCTTGGATATGATGTTCATTAGCTAAATAAAATCAAATAAAGTAGTATGAACCCATATACCCTGGACTTGATTTTAAAACACACATACACACATATCTATTTATATATATATATATATATATATATATATATAAGTATGAAATCTCAAATTGCCTTTTTCAGTACTATGAAACAACATATTTATTTCTATGGGTGTGCCCTCTGTGGACGGATTGTGTTCCAAAAAGGGGAAAAAAATGATATCGTAGGCAGTAATTCTCACTCAATTGTTGGTGAGAGAGAGAAAGAGAGCAAGATGAGCCACCTCTCATTTGGCATCAAATCCTCGCATTTTCGTGGGTGGTGGGTGAGTAGTGGACTCCCACGCGGGAACCCTAATTTCTAAACAAGAAAGCTCTTTCCTCGCTGCTTCCTTCCTCAGGAGTGCGTGCCAGCAGCTTCCTCGAAAGCTCCCAAAGTCAATCTGCCCGCTCGTCGCATCTGCACTGCCACGTGTCCGCGTCGTACACGCCGTATACTTTGGCGAATCATTGTAAGGGGAATGCCCCAGTAGAGAACAAAGGTTGGAAATAGGAGACTAGGGATAGGGAACAATAATGGAGAGATTGGGGACTTAAGACAAATGCCAGGGACATGAGATAGATCAAAACAAGGAGGGTATGGCTTTAACAACTCCCTATATAAATTGCAATCATAATAATTATTTTTTTGCATCATATTTTCCCACACCCATCTCTCATTTTTACTCGGAAAACCAACCTTGAAATCTGAAGCCTTCAACCATGGATTTTACACACAATCTGACTTTTAAAAGACTTGCACATTTTAAATTTCAATTGGAAAATTTTAGAATTCACAAGTACATAAAATAGAATTTAATAATTTAATAATGTTTAAATTAAAATGAGCTGTGTTATCTTTTAATTTTAATTGAAAGATTATAATACAACATCACTAATATTTTAATCATAAAACTATTTCAAAAAGAAGTAGAAAGAAGAATAAAAAAATAAAAATAAATAAAAACTCTAATTAAGGTTATTATTGCCATCCATAATAGTAAAGAACGGGAGTAAATGACAAGAGCTAGGAATGAAGACACATAATGACAGTTGAGGACATGAGATAAAGGCTGGAAATAAAGATAAGGGATGAGGGTTGAGAATGAAGACAAGAGATAAGGATTGAGAATGAAGACATGAAATGAGGGTTGGGAATGAGGATGAGGGCTGAGAATGAAGAGGGTTAAAGTCATGGGTAAGAAAGAAGGGATTAATGATAAGGAATAGAGATGGAGGATTGGAGATGGAAGATATACTAAATTAATCATGAAGTTGTAAAGGAAGTGTAGTATTGACTAAAAAGGGATGTGGCTTTAACAACTTTATTTATTTATTTATGCCAATAAATATAAATATAAATATTTTGGAATTGAATCTTACATGTAAATCAAAGTTTAATACTAAAAATCTTCTAACTTAAGCAATGGACTTAAAACATTCAATATAGTTGTGTTTTGAAAGAAGTAATACAAAAACTATTTGAATTCTTTACAAATTTAAGAAATATTTATTCTTTGTGAAATATTCATTAATGGATATAAATAATTATAAGTAATTAAATCAATTGTATGATGTATTGCCTAAAAAACTTATATTAAATATATATATATATATACACATAAATAATAATATTATTAAATTATAATTTTTTTTGTTTATTTGAAAATAAAATAATCACCTCTTATGCCATGATGTTTTTCAATTGGATTATAGATATGAAACTTAGTGCATATATGGATATATAATTTATTATTTATTCTCTTTAGAAAAATAAATTTGAAATGAAAATTTTTCATTCAATAATTTTGATGAAATCATTATTTAAGTTTAAGTTTACACACATTAACATATGTTTATATGCATATAAGTATCTATATTTTGTGAATGTCTCCAGAGTTATTATTATTTTAACAACGACATAAACTAAATTTATTTTTATTTTTAAAATAGTTTCCAAAGTAAATTTTTTATATTTAATTGATCAATAGTTAATTAATAACTCTTAGTATTAAGAGTTAATAGGAATTTTAAAATTAAAATTAAATTAAAAAAATTAACTATTTTTTTTTCTTCAAAAAAAGTAGAGTTTAAGTGGCATATTAAAGTCAAACTATAATAAAGATTACCTTGATATAATTTATTTGATTCTGTAAGAACATTTTTATACTCCTTCAAAATTACAAAGCTAATTGTTAAGTTGTTCATAATTAGCTTTCTATACTCTCTTAAGTGTTACGTATATATGGATAATAATTAGATTTCATATTTGCTAGTCAAATATACTTAATTTTGTTCAAATGAACATAAAAATACAAGTGGACTATCTAATCACTGCAAGTAGAAACCTTCTGTTCATTCTAAAAATAAAAATAAAAAGTGATTTCTAACTTCCTACTAAAAATTACAAACATGTATTTAAATTCTAATTTTTTAACTTTTAAAAATTGTTTATGCATAAAAGAGCCATATTTTTAAGGATTTTGAAAGTAATTTGTGATATTTGTGATACTTATGGCAAAAACAAGTATGAAGAGAAGAAAAGAATTTGTATCTTGTGAAACTTGTTATAAGAATTATCTAACATATATAATATAATCACATGATTTGCACATAAGGATTTTATGAATCTAGTATAATTCTGATGTATGTTTTTTTAAATTAGTATGTAGAAGTTGTTATTATTATTTTTTTGTTTTTACTTCTACAAAACTAATTTAAAGATATTTTGTATTACATTTTCAAAAAATAGATTTTAATATCTTGTTTCTTAAGTTTGAAAGTGAAAAAATACATTTCAAGATATGATTTAGTAATCATGTTAAACCTTATTTGGTAGTTTTTTTAAAAAACTGAATAATATCTAAAATAAGGAAAAACATGTTTATTTTTATTTTTACTTATTTAAAGTGAGCATCTAATCAAGGAACATCTTCTCTATGTTACATTTCATTTTATGTCAAGTACATTTTTCAGTGAATAAATAAACAAATAAAACCTGATGTACACAAACAGATCTAGCATGTCATATGTAAAGTATACGTTAAATATAATTGTAAATTTTAATAACATGTAGAACATGATACATACATACATACATACATTAATTTAAAAATATTGATACTTTCTTGTTTCTTTCTATAAAAATAAATTATAAAGAAATTGAAGAGTTCCCAAAATAATTTTTGAGAAAAAAGCATAAAATTCTGCCTCATTTAATAAAAAAATATTGCATTCCTATTTTAGAAATTTTATTGTGATTTTTTTAAAAATGTTTTTTAGTTCAAAATTTTATTTTAAATTACGCTTTAAAATTTTATTTTTATTCTAAATTATATTTTTCCATAAATTATTTATGATAAAATAAAATAAAAAATGAAAGTAAACCAAATGGAAAGTCTTGGGCGGACACCGGTTAGCTCACGGTAACGCGGGGGCGCAGACGGCCACGGGTTCCCACGGTAACCGAATCTCATGCCTACAACCGCGTGGACAAGAGCCAGGGAATTTGGCGATGGCGAGGGGGCGAGGGAGGGAGGGAGGGAGGAGGGGTTTGATCGATGCTATACACAGTCGGACCCTTTCCATGCCTCAAAATTGCAGTTTGATGAGTAGGTAAATCTGCGGCGCACTTGATGACAATTGGGTCGTAAGCATGCTCAGATGCGTGGCCCACCTGCAGCTCCGATTCTTGCATCACTTCCATCGCCGTGCGCTCTCTGGAGCTGCTGGACTCGTTTTGCCTCGCGATTCTTCGCTCCTTGGCTACTCGAGGAATTTCGCTCCGGCTACGTCCATCGGACGCTGCAGCAGCTACATTGCCACCGCTGCCTTCACTCGGTTGGATATCTCTAGGTGCGAATGCTCTCCCATGAGCTCGCGCTGCATTTTGCTGGGCTTGTAGTTTTTTGTGGGTTATGTCAAATTTTCTTTGTGGGAGAGACGATGTTTCAATTGTTTATTTATTTATTTGTTTATTTATTCGTGTGTGGAGTGTTGTGTTGTGCCAGCTGAAACGTCGGCCTGTGACTCATGGGTTTGTGGATTAATGTGAACTGTTTAGAAGGCAGGTTTGGTGTAATCTTTGGACTTTAAATTGGACAGTCCTAAGAGTATTGGATTTTTTTTGTTTTATATGAAGAAATATATCCGTAGATACTGTCTTTTGGACATGCTACATCTTTTTGATAATCGAAACTGTGAGCTTTTTGTTATGATTTAGCAAAATGAACAATAAATGTCACCTTGGAAACGATCATGTTTTGTTCAACGATGGGACTTAATCGGCTCTTTGGAACTGGATCGCTGATTGGGGCATCGGCAGCTGGCTACACGGGGTGTTCTTTGGCGGCAATAGACAGGGTTTCTAGATTACATGGATAGAATTGTGTGCACATTGATAGCCGCTGAAAGTGCTCAAACTCCTACGTACTGTCGTTCGATTTGTGTAAAGGATGGGTTCGTTGCAGCAGATTACAATGGATTTTATCTTTGATGCAGATGTGAAACTCTTGCATTGGGAAAAACGTCCGCAACCATCAACGACATGAATTTGAGCACGCAAGCTAACACAGGGTTGGCGAAGAGCTTCTGGGCTAGTTGTAAGAGAGAGGCTTATGCATCACTCTACCATCCGTTTGTGGTTGCGTTAGCGGCTGGCACCTTGCCAAAACAAACTTTTCAACGTTACATGGCACAGGATGCCTATTTCTTGGAGGCGTTCAAGAATGCGTGAGTGTCCAAACCAATGCTTCCGTCGCATAGCAGGCAATTTTTAGAGTAGGATAGCTTAACAATCAGCATCATAATGAATTGCTTTCTTGTTTGTAGGTTTCCTGACAGAGTGATCTGGACACGTTCTTGCAACACGTCTTCATATTCTTAAAGCTTCTTCTTCTTCGCACAGCGTTTTGTTTTGTGTTTTCACTATTTTGTGGCCCATCTTCTGACCTTGGAATCTGCAATCATTCCAGGAATTTGGTGGTCATGGAACAGTAAGATTCTATATTAAGACACTTAGCATACAATCAAACAATGTTTCTTTAAGTGTAGCTCCTTCCTCATGTTCCGAATTTCATTGATTGCGGCGCATACTTTACAGGTATCAACTGGCTATGGAAACCACTACAGACGAAGAGGCAAAGGCCATCATTGAGTCCCTTCAGAGAGATGTGCAGGAAGAGCTCAATTTGCACTCGTCGATCATGCAGGTGCTTCGTGAAGTTACAGAATTCCTTGAATGTTCCCTCTTGAACGATATATCCAGTACAGTTTCTAGAGAATTGACCCTTCTGATCCTATAAACTTTCCTTTGATCATGCATTACAATTGTTGTATCTTCGATATTTTTATTTATGACTAAGTAGTTTGTCAGGTCGATTTTGACGTACCTTGGGAGAATTTTAGATTCTGGATGGTTGCTATAACTCCAGAGAATGCAATAGTAATTGGTTTTTGGGTTAGTGTAACTCGTTGTATAAAACGATTATTAGTCCTGTAATTGTTGGTATGTCTGGACCTTAGTAATGGCGGTAATTTATTGTTTGACTGCAGTCTTTGGATGCTACCGATCAGAATTGCTTTGAACCAAACATGGCAACAACAGCGTATTGTGATTTTCTGCTAGCCACAGCTACAGGAAGTAACGAAGCACAAAAATTTGGAAGCACAAGTGCTCAAATCATAACCGCTATGACTCCTTGCATGCGGCTATATGCATTTTTGGGGCAGGAGCTCAAAAAACACGTTGATCATGTTGCTGACCATCCTTACCAGGAGTGGATTGATACTTACTCTGCTGCAGAGTTCGAGGTGGGAATCTTGTATCTGTTGGAATGACAAGTTTAAATTATGCTGCGTAGTCTTCCTAGAATCATGCACTAAGCCAAAATGTTGCTGTGCATCGTACATCCTATTGGGTGATTTAACTTCTGGAAGTCTCAGCTTTGTTTTCTCTTCTGAAGGAAACTAATCATTCATGCAGGCTGCAGCTTCGAAGATTGAGCAGCTGCTAGACAAGTTAACTGCTACTTTGACTGGAAAGCATGAAATAGCATTCTTAGAAAGTCTCTATCTTCAAGCCATGAACTTGGAGGTGGATTTCTTCGGTGCTCAGCTGTTAGGGCCTGTGCTCGTACCCTTCCTCAAATGCCAACCGGCTCCAGAGAGCTATATATTACTTGCGTCTGACTTTGATTCCACGTGCACGATATCTGATTCATGCCCCATATTGGCAGACCTGACCGTGCAAACTGCGCGAAAATCTCACGGTGGTCGTTCAGTTGGTGAATCAGGGGCCAGCTTGTTGAAAAAAAGATGGGATGATCTCGTCATGCAGTATATGGACGAGTATGAGGACGTTCTGAAGCGAAGCCTGGTGAAAAAAGATAATGGTGAGGTACTTGTAACCTTGGATATTTTGCACTCCATTTTTTCGTAAAGGAGATTTCCTCTCCTGCAAGGCATGGAAGTTTTGAAGTTCTTGAAATGTTCCTTTACTGTCCTCTTTCCTATCCTTACATTATGATGTCGCAGGCAGTGTTAATGCGCTCAGTGCAGAGAATCTCCAAGAGTTTCTGAAGGAAATGTCCAACTTCGAACAGAAGGCCAATGCGAGGGTCGAAGAGGCTGCAGTTCTAAAAGGCTTATCTCTGGCTTCGATTCAAGAAGCTGGAAAATCCATGCCTCTTCGTGAGGGCTGTTCTGACTTTTTTAAGCGTCTGGAATCAGGAGAGGTTCTTGTTGACACATGTATATTGTCTGTGTGCTGGAGCAAAACCTTCATCGAAGCTGTCTTGGAAAAGGGTAAGTCCTCTGATACAACTCTCGTCCTCCAGATTTGGATCACACGCATACGCACATTTATTATCATATCCCCAAATGTTTTCTATTGTTGCTTGAGAATGAGTTCCTTCTGACGCATGACTGCTATTTTCTCATTCATGGGGTTTATTTTTCGCAGGTGAAGTTCGTATTCCAAACATCAATGCCAACGAGCTCGTTTTCGAAGGACGCATTTCCACCGGTGCTATTATCAAAAACGTCGAAACGGCTCTTGACAAGCAAAGACACTTCGTTCAGTTGCTGGATAATCTAAAACCAACTCAAGACGTGCTGTCCATTTATGTTGGTGATAGTCTGACTGATCTTCTCTGCCTAATCAGAGCAGACCTGGGTATAGTTCTCGGTGACAGCAGCGCTCTGAAGCAGGTGTATGGGCCAAAAATGGCCCCCCTCTTCATGAAAGCCATACTCTTGGAGCAGGCAAACATGCGAGGCAGGCAGCAACCCACAGGTTACGTCTTCACTGTCTCCAGTTGGTATGAGGTGGAAGCCTTTCTGTTGGGTCCTGCTAGAAACAGACCTTTGTACATCTAGCTCTATTTTTTATGACAAAGAAGATCACTGTGATGCTAAAACAATGTGTTGAGTTGAGTGCCAGTTGATGTTTCGATTGTTTTTATGGCATTTTCATTCTTAGCAAATTAGAAAGCAAGTTCATTCCAACATTCTAATGTTTACAAGGGATTGATTGCTATCAAGTTTTCCTTCATTGTTCATTGCTGCCTAAAGGAACCAGTGTTCGATTTACCTCCATTTCATTCGAAGGCTTTGTGTGTTGTTCCTGCACCATGCTAGCAGTCCTATTCGTTCGTGTTCACTTCATTTTCAATGTAATTTTTCATCCTTCACAATACTTATTGTTCTTCCAGTTAAAATATTAATTACTAGTGATGGATTGATTGATGATTCTGCAAGCATGAGATGAAAATAAAATTTTAAGTAATTGTCAATGTAAAGTTTTAAGAATCTTTTGTGTACATTTTTAATTGATTCGTATCATGAGTGTATTTTATAATACATAATATTAATTAAATATAATATAATCATGTATTTAACATTTATTTTATCTCTTTGGTCAACAACAAACTTAAATCTTACATAACATGTTATGTTTATTTATTAAAATTTTCATTTAATAACCACTAATTATATATAATTTATCATTTTATTAAAAAACTAGAAATAATATTTTTTATCATTGAAGATATATTAATTAAATTCAAGTGCTTATAAATAAATAATTATAATTAATTAAAAAAATATTTATAACATTTAGTTATTTTAAAATCTCACTATTAGAACTTTTATTGTATTAGTTAGAAATTTTAATAAGAAATAATAATAGCTCATTTATTATCTAAATTTCTATGAACTGTTATACATTAAATATAGTATTATTTTGAATTCATGTCATTATTTAATTTAACTTTTAAATAAATTAGATATAAATAAATTATATATAAATAAATTAGATATAAATAAATTAGATATAATTATTTTTTAAAACTTTGTAAACACTCAAAAATAGAGAAATTTAATTTAATTAAATTATCTGTATAAAAATATTTTTTAACATTTTAACTTTAACTTTTATGGAGTAAAAATATAGTGGATAGAAATGTAGCACCTTGCATATTAAGAAACATAGTAGTGCATTGACATGTTCCAAAGATGGTTAAAACATTAAACACAACCCAATTAAAGATAAGATCTTTATACAAGCTTTTGTCTAAATATTTGGTTTTAAACAAAACCTATATTATTTCTACAATAATAAGATAATACTTCTCTTTTATTGAAGTCATTCAAATACAATATTTTAATTAGACTTGGTACTTATTTCGCAACTTCAAAGACAAAATTAAGATGCTTCAAATGTGCTTCATAGCTTGTGAATCTACTATTTTGTTGTAACACAACTATTGGATGAAAGAACAAAAGAACATCTATATTACGAAAGAGCTCAATTGAAGATTCAATAAAAAAAAATCTTTTAGAAATTAGAATTCAAAGATAAGAAGAAGTAGAAAAATAGTGTCTATAATGTTTTTTTTGTAAAAAGATATAAGGAAAAATAAGGTATGTAAGCAAAAACATAACTGTAGGCACCTTCAAATAAAAGTAAAGCTTATTTTTTAGCAATAAATTATTCAAATCTTAGATTGATATATGGAGACGACTAATTGTGAACCAAGGTTTAAATTAGACCCCAAAATACAAAATTTCATGCTTATGGCATGTATAAGGTTCTTTTGTCAATTACAGAGCAAAAATAGAGAATAATATTTAAGAATATACTATGTGCATTGGTTTTGAACAATTTTAGTTTTTAATGACTTTGAGAGAGCTATTCAAAGTCAAGGTTTGATTTGGATGACTTTGTCATTTTAAAAATAGAATGAAGTTTATATTTTAGAAGATTTTATGAATTATGTAGTACATCTATATGTTCTTTTTTTTCTTTCTTTCTTTTTTTTTTTTTTTTTTTTTTTTTTTTCTTTTTGCTGATTTTTTGTTGGAATTATACAATAAACTTGACCTCAATTGGTAGATCAAATTAAAAGTTATTATAGTTCAAATATATTAAAAATATTAATAATTAGAAATTTGAAGATCACTAAGGCTTTCTAAGATTTGCATCAATCTAACATTTTGATTGAGGTTAAGTTTATAAAATTGGTAGGTAACTTGAATTCTATTATCTCTGCAAATTTTGGAAGGACATTAACAATTCTAAAAGAAGATTTTGGTGTTGGAAGTTCAATATCAAGGTTAGAGAAGGATGCTACCTTACACCTAAATAAATTATTGGTCATTTTTTTCAATTTGTATATTTGATTCTCTTTAATTTTCATAATATTGTTTTCAACCACGATTTTAATAAGTATGTAAACTTTGAATTAAAATCAATGCTAAATTTTAGGAAAATTTTCAAAAATATCCTTGTAGTTTGCTGAAATATCGAGATTATCCTTGTATTCTTGATAATTGCAAAATTGTCTCTCATAGCTTTGATAATATCTAACCTACCCATGATCCTCATAACCTCTCATTCAAAATCCAAATTTAGTGCGAATTGGACCCAAAGCGTGTGCTGCACATACTTCAATGCAACACTAAACTTGTTTTTCCATGTGGTCTTAAATTCTTTGTTGACAATACTATTGCTTGCCATGCTCGCTGCTCATTGATAACTTGGTTTTCCACCATTCAATTCAATAAAGCACACGATATAAAATAAGACCACAACCAACTACAACAACAAATGAATATAATGTTTATGATATAATATCATAAACACTTGAATTCAAAAGTTATATACCGAATTGGTGGAATTGTAATTGTTTTTTAGAAAATGAAAATGAATAAAAGATATAATAGTATTGTAATAATGAATCTTTATTACAATACTATTATATCTTTTATTCATTTTATTAAAAGTACTGTATAATTTTTAAAAAATATTTATTAATATTAATCATTAAAAATATATATATAAGTATATATATATATATATATATATATATTTACAAAAATAAAGTTATAAATCCTATAAGTTGGAAATTTGGTTCTAAGAAAATAAATTCTACAGCTTAAAATTATCTTATAATCAAAAAATATATGTGTATATATATATATATATATATATATATTTATAATCTTGATATTTCTTGTAGTTATAAATTGATTGTAGATGAAGCATTGAGAGTTGTGTATTAGTATTAGTTTTGTACACTAGTATGTTTTTTTATAGCAACAATTGATATGATTTACTTAGTTACTTCAATGAAAAATCATCAAAATTGACATATATACTACAATATTAAACAAACTATATTTATGTAATAACAACTTTGTATATTTCTCAGAAACAAAATCTAAAACTCGTGGAATATAATCCACCCAATTTGTAATCCATATTCAAATACGTGTATATAAATAAATAAATTGTCAGTATTGATTCTATTTTAACTCTAATAAGAAGAATGTATTATATATTGTGACAATAGACACACCTTCAAATTATTGGTTTGGAGTACAATTTTTATTCTATTTATTTTTAATCATATAAAAAAAAACATGAATAAAAAAGAATGAGGAACTTGTGGCATTGGATGTCTACTACGTGTAGTTCAAACATGAATATTAAAGACAAATGTGCATATCCAAGAGTATTGATAATGTCCCTTCAAAGCTCATAATTCATGACTTTTTTGTAAATAGTTCATAAGAAGCAACATTGTTGAGCTTTAATGGAAGAGCTCCATCTAAAAATATCCTAAATTTTGATTAATCAGAATTTAGTAGGATTCAATAAGAATTTGCTAAAGAATTTGTTAGGGATAATTAGTTTATTTCTGGATTTAATAATTATTTATTTGGAATTTATTTTAAATTTATTAGAATTCAATAAGATGTATTTAAGATTTTTATAAGATTATTAGAATGTACTTAGGATATTTTAGAACTTTCTTAGATTTTTTGAGATTGCCAAAAAGATATTTTTAAACATCTTATGTATTGTTCTTTGGATAATAAATCCAACTTCAAGGTAAGTTAAAATCCTTCCTTATTTAGATGCCTAGTACATTCTAAGGTCCAATTTCATATTTTTTAACACTAAAAAGTTGTAGAATATGTTCTTTAACAAAAACAAATCCTCTAAGGCTACTTATATCTCACTTAAGACAATATAAATAAAAATAAAAATTGTTGCATTTAAAATATTCAATGCTTTAGATGCCTAAATTATATCACTAATTAATCAAAATTCTAATCCAACTCAAAACAGAAGCAAAAAAAAAAAAAAAAAAAAAAAAAAAAAAACTTTAGACTATACCAATTTTTACATCAAGCACATTATATTCTAACATATTTAAATACTTATATATTTATAATTATATGAAATATATATATATATATATATATATATTATAATTATTTTTTAAGATCAATATCTAAAATAAACTTTTACTGATATTTTTATTTATTAAAAATATATAAATAATATAAAATTATTCATAAAAATTATAAAATAATATTATGATTTTTTAGTGATTTATGTAAAAAATAGGATTTTAGTTGATTAAAATTAAAATATTTATGTAAAAAATAATACAAAAATTTATAATAATATAGTTTAAATTTAATACTAGCATCTTTAAAAAATTGTAAGAAATTTTAGAACTTCTATTAAATAAAAAAAAAATTAAATTTGTAATTTTTGGAAATTTTATTTAGAATAATTTAACCACCTTGGGGGGGGGGGCATTATTAAAAATTGGAGGAAGATTTAAAATTTTCATGATATTTCAAGGCTAATTAGTTATTTTTAATACCATGGTGTCAAGGACAAGAACTCGATGAAAAAACAATTCAGACAAGTGTACCTTCACTCAAAAAAAGGTAACAAAATATAAATAAACAAGTATGTATATTGAAAGAGAAATTGGAATGGCTATTGCCAAAAGACAAAGAAATTAGAGACCCTTGAAACTACACTAGAAGCAAGAAAGGAGTTGACAAGAGTGAAGAAGGCTTCACTCTTGTCTCTATTTATACTATCTAACTAAGGGCTACGTGGCGACGTTCTATAGGACCTCAAATATGTGTTGACTTTGTAGGACACATGCCTTGACATACAAGGCAAGTTTTCTATGTGTGGGCCACATAGTTAGCTTGATCTTTAAGCTAACAACATGTGTGGCACATGGCC